GAGAGAGACGGGGAGAGATACGAGAGAGACACATCGATTGGCCATCCCCCGAATGACCCCGTCAGGGGCCAGGGATAGAACCCGAAACCAAGGTACACGCCCTTGACCGGGAATTGAACCCATGATTTTTTGTTCTGCAGGCCCATGCTCTAACTGCTGAGCCAAACCAGCCAGGGCTAGGTTATTTTTAATTATGAATTTTTTTTTTTTAATCCTCACTTGAGGATGTTTTTTCATTTTTGTTCAAATACAGTGGGAGGGAGGGAGAGAAAGAGAGGGAGATAGAGAGAAGCATTGATGTGAGAGAGACACATTGACTGGTTGCCTCCCACACAACCCTGACCAGGGCCGGGGACAAACCGCAACCGAGGTATGTGCCCTTGACCGGAATCAGACCCGTGACTCATTGGTCCTTGGGCCAACACTCTAACCGCTGAGCCAGACTGGCCAGGGCTCATGAATGTTTTGACTTTCCAAAATCAACAGGGAGTGAAAAAATGTGCCCACATATTACTTGACCTAAGAGATAACATACTTAAGAATAGATGCACCCTTCCCATCAGTTTTTCTCCTCCGAGCTAATCCCTTCTTCCGTTTCAGTGACTTGATGCTTTGCTGTTTTTCCATTCAGTGTTGATCATCATACCTCTTGGCAAGGGTGCAAAGAACCCCCTCAAGATTGGATTTAGAAATGGAGTGCAGCACCCTTGTGGGAGGGTGGTGTTATGTAAAGAGACCCCCCTTCATGGGAACCCAGGACTGGCTTTCAGATAGCCTGAAATCATGGCTGGGAGTGGGATTCAGAGTTTGGGCCTGGAAGCCAGAGAGACCTGGGTGTGACCCTGGTTTTGCAATTCTGGTCATGCTCCTCCCTCTCTGCCTGAGCCTCCGTTAGTTAAACAGGACAGGTAACAAACATATTCCAGTAGTCAGTGCTGAGCTGAAGGGCCAGAGCTCGCCCATGTCAGACCAGGGAGGACAGGGCCTGGAGTGCTGCGTGTGTTCAATAGTGAGAACCTCATCTTCCCCCAGAGATGAGATTGCCGGATGCATCGAGAAGGCCTATGAGAAAATCCTCTTTACTGAGGCCACCCGGATCCTCTTCTTCAACACACCCAAAAAGATGACGGACTACGCCAAAAAGGTGGCTGGGGTGCAAAGGGTCATGGGGCCAAGGGGTGCACTCACTAAGAGCAGTGAGGGTGGTCTGGAGGGACACTGGAGCATGACTGCCCAGGTTTAAAAATCCAGCTGTGTAACCTCAGGCAAATTGCTGGACTTCTCTGAGCTTCAGTTTCCCTGTCTATAGGATGAGGCTAGAATTTAACATGTGGGGCGCGCTTAGCACAGCATCTGGCACAAGGCAGAGTTGGCTACTCGACACATGTTGGCTGTTGTCCTTGTCAGAATTCCTTGGAGGTTGCAGCTTTTCCCCATATGACTGTGCTACACTGGTCTGGGGTATTTATGTAGGAGCAGTGTCCGTGGAGATGCTGGTGCAAGGGGTGCAGTGACCCTGGTATCAGGAGGGTTAAGGACAGGCTGGAAGAGGTGAAACTGGACTTGAGCGATGGTGACAGCTGATATTTAGTGATTGTTTACTCTGGGCCAAATACTGTTCTCAGCACTTTACAAGTGTTGATTGAATTCTCATAGCAGACTTATCCAGTGTCAAACAGAGAAACTGAGGCACAGAGAGGTACAGATGCTTGCCTAGAATTGTGCGGGTAGATGAGGGTTGGTGAGGAAAGCAAGCCAGGGCTTACATGGGTAAGAGCTGGTTCTGCAGGGTGGGGAGGGAGCCTCTGTGATCACCCCTCCCATCTTTCCTCTCTCCCTTTCTGCAGCGAGGGTGGGTCCTGGGCCTCAACAACTACTACAGCTTTGCCAGCCAGCAGCAGAAACCAGAAGATACCACCATCCCCTCCACGGAGCTGGCCAAACAGGTCATCGAGTATGCCCGGCAGCTGGAAATGATCGTCTGAGCCCAGCAGGCACTGGGGTGGGGCAGGGCTTGCATTACTGAAAGCAGCTGTAGTGCAAGGTTTCCTCCAATAAAGCTGAATGGACATTCTGTCTCCCAGGCCCTTACCTCCCTGGGTGGAATGGTGGGGAGACAAGTCCTTATCTCTGAAGAACTTGGAAGTTTGATGCCCCTCAGGGGTCAGCTTTTGTCCAGTGGCCTTTGCTTAAGGTGTCAAATGCCCACTGCAGGGTTCTGGTGGCACTGTGGCTTGGGGGAGCACAGCTCTGGGTAGAGGGACTGTTGCACCCAGCTGTGGACACAGGAGGGCCAGGCTAAGGCACCAGTTCCTTAGTGAAGGGTATGAAATGTCCCATTTTTAAAAAATGTTTGCAATGCATTAAACCAATTTTTTCAATGACATTCAAAATGGACTACTTATATGGGCTACCAATTTGAGACCTCTTGGAACAAAAGGCATGGGCCCTGGCATGAGTTTGCCTTGGTTCCTTCCCTTCCTGAGCCAGTGCTGTGACTTACGACATTCCACATCCCCAGCTTATGTTTCCTGCCTTGACATTCTTGAGGTGTTTAAGGCAGAGTCCAAATCTGGCTAGGCCATTTGTAGAATTTTTCATGTCTTCCAGAGTCAGTTTCTCCAGCTGTAAAATGGAAATGATCACTCCTGCTTTCTAGAGGGATTTGTGCTGAACCCTTCAGCTTGGCACCAGATCAGCTCAGAAATGGGGCTGATGGTATTATGGGGAATGAGACCATCTCACCCTGGGGCCCATCATTCTGGATGCTGGATGAATGGAACTTCCGTTACTGTTGCCCTGAGTCCAACCTGTTTAGGATGTGGTGCCTGTGGAGAATTCTGCCCTGCCCCACCCCACTCTTTCAACCCTTAGCAGGTGACTTGACAGGCATTTAGGCATCTGGATGGTTGGTTATTTTATTGTCAAGGAGGGGGAGGTAGAAGCCATCGATCAGACTGTATTCAGTTGGAATGGGTGGCCTGCAAGTCGAAGTGCTCCAGACCGGCCACCAGGGAGCCGGCCAGCTTGATGGTGGCAACCCAGGATGGCTCACTCAGGTGGTTGGTGGGTGTGCTCAGCCTAGGATGAAGTAGAGTAAGCAGGGTATGGCTATGTGGTCAGGCCCTTACCCCTTCTAGGCTTCACTCCATCTGCATGAGGGACCATGTCTGGGTATCTCATAGGCAGTCTAGGGCAGGGCTGTGGCCATTTAAACCAGGTAGGAAAAGGTGCTACGGGTTGGTGATAGTGTGACATCCCTCCCACCTCCCAGCTGAGCTCCAAGGGGTCCAGAGCAGAGGGTCTCCTAGTGATTTAGGATTCTCAGGAGCTGGGGTCAGACAGACCCTGGTATCCAATCCTGAAATTCAGTGTGTGGGGTAATTGGATGATGCAGAGCGTCTCCCCTAGATCTGAAGACTTGGGAGTAGTCTCTAGCACAAGGGCTGGGACATCAGTGCCCTCTGGCAGTCAAAACCTTGGGTCCCAGAATCAGAAATTGCCAGAGGCTGAGGGTAGCAGTCTGGGGCTAGAACTGGGGCTTCCTTTGGAGCCCTGCATTTATATTTGTTTGGTTCCAGAAGACAGTCATCTCCCCTCCCATCCCTGAAGAGCTTGGGACATGGTCTCTGTTGCCACTCTCAGGGACAGGGTCAAGGCTGTGAAGACAGTGGATCAGCTGGGACCAGTTTCCACCCTTGATAGCTCCAGAAAGTAACCAAAGCAACAAGAGGGTCAGGAGTCAGCTTGGAGGTATGGATACCAAAGGGCTGGTTCCTTATTGGAGCTCAGGTGGGTTTAAAATGCAGCCAAGGAAAAGGTCAAGGGTCAGCTGGGGTCATGAATAGGGCTCTATCCACGGAAGTTGGGTTTAAGACTTAAAAGTGGTATGCCCTACCCTCCCTGACCCCCCTCCCACTTCCCCTCCCTATCCCTCTAACACCCCTCACCAGGCAGACACGTTGCGTGGCAGGCGGCGATGGCGTGGCTGGTGGCGGCAGTAACACTTGGAGGGACAAGAGTTAAGCACCTGGAAGGGTGGCCAGTGGCGCCGGGCACTAGTGTTAGCCGTCCCCGCTGGAGGAGCCCCGACACCACCACCTCCTCCACTGCCGGTGTCAGTCACGGTAGCTGCAGTCCGTTCACGAGGACCCTCTCCAGGAGTGCCATCCTCACGGGCCGCGCACCGGGCTGCACGGGGGCCCTTGTTTCTGCGCGTGCGGGCTTTAATGGGCGTGGGCGCAGGCGGCGGTGGCTCGGCCTTAGTGGGAGCTGGGGCTGGGGCTGGGGCTGGGGCTGGGGCTGGGGCTGGGGCTGGAGCTGGAGCTGGAGCTGGGGCCTGGTCTGTAGCCAAGGCGGGGGGCAGGGCGGGAGCCTGGGCGGGGGGCAGGGCGGGCTCCAAGTGGCCCGAGCCTGGGGTAGGCGGGAGCACCGTGAGCAGCGGCGTTGGCTGGAGAACTGGCGGCTGCGGTATGGGCGGTGGCGCGGGAGGCGGCGTAGGTGGTGGCGTGGGCGGTGGCAGAGGCGGAGGCGGCGGCAACTCCTGTGGGCCAGGAGGCCTGGGGCACACAGGCTCTCCATTGGTGGGCGCCGGGAAGATGAACATAGGTGGCGCCAGCAGGGCGGGTACGGGCCTCCGGGGGCCCGGAGCTGGGTGCATCTGCCCTGGCGGAGGCGGCGGGGAGCCCCAGGGACCCGAGAGCGCGGCTGCACGCCGTCTGGGGGCCCCGATGCCTCCACTAGCCCCGTTGAAGCGGAAGTGGCGTTCAGGGCCATCGGGAGGACTCACCCAGTCAAATTTGGGCTTCGAGCCTGGGAAGGTGGTGTAGGGTGGTGGCGGAAGGGCCCGGGCATGGGACGCAGGCACCAAGGGGTGTCCAGAACACCCCTCGCCGTCTCCATTACCGCCCTCTGCTTCCTGGGTCCCCCGAGGGACTTCTCCCGGGCAGCGAGGGGCCCCCGGAGCCAGGGGCCCCTGCTTCAGGACCTCGGCATAAGTGATGGCGCCGGAGGCGGTGGAGAAGAGTCCCCTGCCTCCGCCGCCCCCGAGAGAGACTTTGGCAACTAAGGAACTCGAAGCTGCCGCAGGGGGCAAAGGGGGCCCCGACTTGAAGGTGACTTTACACAGCAGACTCAGGCCGGCCTCGGAGGCCCCAGGCCTGGCCATTTCGCCGTCGCCTGCTTGGGAAGGCGTTCCTCCACGGGCCCCGCCAGGCGTCTGGCGCTCGCTGCTGCGCGGGACCTGGCTTTCTGTAGGGGTTTTGGCAGGTGTGGCCAAAGCAGGACTGATTCTGAGGTCCGGGATCTGCCGGTCGGAAGGCGGCGGTGGTGGCGGCTTTCTCGGCTCCAAGGGTGGCGGAGTGAGGGATAGGGCCCTTGGGACAGGGTTGGGGTCCTCTTCGGTTCGTGGCAGGGGCGGCGGCGGCGGCGGCGGCGGCAGCGGATGGAGGCTCGGAGGGTCGCCCTGGCCGCGATGGCTTGCCTCCAGCAGACCGCGGATCCGCGGCACCGAAGTGCCCGCGGTTTTTCGCCACTTAGACGGCGCGGGCAACAGGGTCCCCACGGGGGGCAAGGGTGGTGTGGAGACCGCGGCCGCAGCGACCTCCTCTGAAGGGGGCGTCACTGGCGAGGGCATTTCTAAGGTCAGGGGCGAGGGTGAGGCCTGGGGCTCCGGGGGTACCAGGGGTCCCGGGGCCGTCGAGCTGCTGGGGAACCAGACGCCCAGCCCACGAGCCAGGCGTGTGGCAGGGGAGGAGGGGGTCACCTCGGGCTCCGCCAAGGACGTCCGGCGGGCGTCGGAGGAGCGGTCGGAGACCTGCTCTTTTCGGGAGCCCCCGCCTGCGGACGGCTCCGACTGCACGTTCCCCATTTCTGACGGAGGACGGGGACTGTGGTCAGAAAAACTTCCACCATTCAGTCGGCCAGGTCTGTGGGGACCCGACGAGGCCAGCTATACTTGGTGCTACCGATCCACCCCTGTCCTCCAAGATCTACTCAAGCACCAATCTCTAGCCGCATTCGTGTTCCCTCTCAATGCTCACGCCTTCCCCATGGCCCCATACAGCTGCTGTTCAGAAACAGGCTCCATCCTCTTAGTTTACTAAGGTTCTGTCCCTGACCCCCTGGCTGGTCCCTCAGATTACATCCCTACACTTTGGCCACGACCCAGGTCTCCAGGCTCCAAGACACAGGTCTTGCCCGCTTTCCTGTCATTCAGGCCTCATCACTCATGATGGTTGTGCTCAGTAGCCTACGTAGCCTACAAGACGTTCAAGCTTCTCTCCCTGCCCTGTAGCACCCCCCTCACTCTCTGGTCCCGCCCCCGATTGTCTAGGAATAGGGCTTCCTCAACACCTAGGCAGGTCTGGCCCCGCCCCCGCCTAACAATTCCAGGTGTTTCTGTCATGCTAAACCCTGTCCTCCCCTCTGACCCTCTGATCTCCCTCTCTCTCTCCCTCTGTCTGTCTCTGTCTCTCTCATTTGGGACCTGTCTTTCTCCCAAGCATCAGCAGATCTTCAGGCCTCACTCATAATCTCTTCCCGGTGCGGGTCTACCGGCAGGCCTCTACACTCAGGCCCCACCCCTTTCCCCAAGCCCCGCCCTTGGCTCTTCCGACCAGAGGTGCCCACTCACCGATTTCTCCTGCCCACCAAAGTTCAGACCGCGGTCCCCTGGGCCCAGGGCAGGGCGGGGAACGGCCGTAGCAGAAAATAACCGAAAAGAACGGGGGTGCGGGTGAAGGCAAGTGGGCGAGACAGCGAGGGCGGACCCCGAGATCTAGGCCCCGCCTCCGGGCTCGTGGCCACGCCCTCCTGTCAAACAGCTGGAGGCCAGCCGTCCCTTTACCAACCTGGATTTTTCTTTGAAATTCTCAGATGTCTTATTCCCCGCACCCAGGCCGCGGAGTTCTAGGCCTCACTCCTTCAGAACGTTCTCCTTAGCTCCTCCCCTTTGCAATGCCCCGCCCCTCCCGTTAGTCTCTCTCCCTAAGCCCCGCCCATTAGGAACCAAGCTACGTAGCTTTTCAATCTCGGATCTCCTGCGCCCCGCCCCTGAGACAATTTTCTCCTAAACTCCCAAGACCCTCTCCCTCCTTCGCCCGCCCTGGAGGCCTAACCGCGGTGAATCGGCCCCTTCCATGACGCACTCACTGGTTTGAGCTTTTGGCGTCCTCGGTCTCTCCTTTCCCGGGCCCTCCGACCCCGCCCCCTTGTGAATGCTCCCTTCTCGCCCCACCCCTTTTCGAACCCTGCCAGGCACTTAGCCCCTCCCATTTAGTGCCCAAAGCGTAGACCCTAGCCTCTTTAGAACCCCGAGACCGGGCCAAGTCCCGGACCCCTTCCCCACACCCTCAGGGGCCAATGGCGCGGATGGCTGGCAAAGTAGGGATCCTCTATGGATCCTGAGAAAATGGGGGCTGGGGGGCCGTTCACAGAAGCTGGTGCCGGGCTCTAGGACCCAGCGGGCAAGTACGCCCGCCTTGCGTTTACACCTCCCCCAAGCCGCCCCCTTCCCCCCACCCATCTTTCAAGCTCCCCCTCCTTCCCCTCTCGCCCCGGCTCCCGGAGCCCGTCTCTAGCGCCGCCGGAGCCAAAGAGGGAGCCGGAGCGAACAGGAGGAGGTGGAGGCCACGTCGCCGCCGCTCGGAGCCCGGCCGGAGCCTCCTAGGCAGGTGCTGAGGAGGGCGAGGGGGCGGGGGCTGACAGACGCCTGTCCTGGTGTGGGGGTGGTCTGGACCGCGCTGCGTCTCCTGCCCACCAGGGCGCCCCCAGATCCCGGCTGGAAGGACAAGGGGGTGGGGGCCCATAAACTGCGCGGCAGCCATTTGGGGTACCAGTCTCCATTTGGGGGGTCTGGACTTCTTCCGAGGATGCTCCATTCATAAAATTCCGTACAGGACCCCCACCATTGAGGAAGTGTGGGGACCACTTCCCCTCACCGGGAAACAGATGGGTGGGGAGCATAGAGCACCCAGAAACCCCGGCGTCCCATCCCAGCTAGGCCCTGCGGGGGACCCTCTGCCCTTTTTCTCTGCTTCACCTGTTGTCGGGGGAGGCGGGCGGACAAAGGAAGCAGCATCACGTGACTGCTCATTCACAAAATCCCATCCCATTGAGAAAAGGGGGCTGGGGGCGCTGGCGGCGCTGCGGCCGCGTTTTCCCCCGTTGAGGGGCCGGAGAAACCCGGTAGCCTGCAAGTGGGGGAAAGGGCTAGAGCTCATCGCATGGGTCCCTAAGTCTGGGGTGCCAGGGTCCCTGCGCCAAGTGGTAGTGAGGGGCTAAATGCCGATCCCGATTACTGGGTGGAGGGCTACGTCTCCCGAGCTGGGGGGCGGGGTAAGATGGTTTTGAAGGATGCTGGGGCGGGGAGGAGGAGGGATCAACCCCCACCCCGCCCCCAGCCAATCTCTCCCCTTAGCCTTCCCTAGGCTGGGGCCCGAGGGAACAAGCTTGGTTTTTTGTGAATGAAATGCTCTCTAGATGTGTCTCGGTCGCCAGTTTCTAGCTTCCACTGCCTCCATCTCCCTTTCGGCCTCTCTCTGGCCATTTCTGGTTCTCTCCCTGACCGTCTCCCGTTGCTGGGTGACTCAGTGAGCTTTGCATCCGGTCTCATTCATAAATCCGGGAAGGAGTGGGGGAAGAGAGCCTGGGTTTCTCACCCAGCCAGTGGCCTGGGGGGGCAGAGTGCAGAGGCAGTGAGGGGGGGACTGGAGCTGAGTTGATGGACTCTAAGAAAATACATATATACTCGGGCACCCAGCTGTGAGGGGGAAGGATGGGTGGGGCTGTGGGTATGAGAAGGAGAGGAGAGAAGGGAGGAGACAAGGTTGATGGGGGATGAGCAGGAGGGGGAAGGGAAGTGGAAAACCCAGGCTGTGGGGGTGTGGATGGGAAAAGGGAGGAAAGGGGGATGGAGGGAAAGGGGAGATGTGGAGAAGACAGGCATGAGGGAAGAGAGATGGCGTGAGGACGAAGGAAGCCATGCTGGAAGAAGGGCATGGGGAGAGGTGGGTATGCAGAAGAAGGTGGGAATGGAAGGTAAGCTGAGTATCAGTGATGAAGGTTGCAGTGGATCATGATGAGAGAAAAGAAGAGGGGGAATAAGGGTTGGGGGGACATTAAATGAGAGAACAGGATTGGAGTTCACTGACCATGTTGTCCCTGTCCCTCCACCTTCAGGTACATGGTTCGGGTCCGAGCTGTGGTGATGGCCCGAGATGACTCCAGTGGGGGCTGGCTGCCTGTGGGGGGCGGGGGCCTCAGCCAGGTGAGCGTATGTCGGGTCCGAGGGGCCAGGCCCGAGGGGGGGGCCCGCCAGGGGCACTACGTCATCCACGGGGAGCGACTCCGGGACCAGAAAGTGAGCCACTGTCGGGCATGGGAGCAGGGTGGGGGTCTGGGGAAATAGAGAGATGGGCCTGTAGAGGAGAGGTCAGGTCATCTCCAAACCTGGGTGTGGGATGGAGTTTGGAAGTGAGTATCTGTCCTATGGCTAAGAGTTGGGAGTTTTGGGAACATTTGGGGTATTAAGCAGGTCCTATCCACTGCCATTCCTGATGGACTATCATATCAGCCTCCTTACTGCTCTCCTTGCCCCCCCCCCAGTGTGCTCCACAGGGGTTCTGCTAACACCTGACTCAGATCATATCCCTCCTCTGCTTAGAACCTCTGATGGCTCCCTCCCCTTCAGAGATCCTCACCACAGCACCCTACACTCTTGGCCCCTGTCTGCCCTAAATATACGAAGGCATTTGGTGGGACCATCTGGAAATGTCAGATAGGGTTTACAATTCTATATTTGGGTTCAGCAGGAATATTCTGGGCTGTCTGGCACGATTTGGAAGGACAGTGTTAAAGTTTCAGCTAAGGGTGTAGTAGAAAGATCTGGATGCTTTGCAGAGGCTTGGGGGAAGGGTTGCAGTTCAGAACGGGGTTGGAAGGAAAAATTCATGGAGTTTGAAATAGTGTGAAGGAATATAGTGATGTTAGGCAAGGATATGAGGGAACATCTAGGGTGTTGACCAGCATATGCAGGGAATCTGTGGCAGTTTGATAAGAATTTGGGGGGTATCATTTTGGGAGATTACTGGGGCATTGAGAGGGGATTAACAGTAATATTTTTGAGGTGTTTAATTAAGTTGGGGAGTACTATTGAGTCAGAAGGAGGGATACTGGGTTATCAAATGGGGACTAATTAATTTTTTGAGGCATTCAATATGATTTGGGATTCCTATTGGGATATCAGAGGGGGGAACTGGAAAATGTAGGGATCAATGGGTTTGGGGGAACTAGTGGAGTATCAGACATGTGCTCAATAAAATTGGGGAGTGGTATTAGTCAAGGTTCAGGGGTACACCTAGGATTGAGAAATGAGGTTTATGGGGTGCTGGGGGTGGAGGAGAAGTCCTAGGCATGGCTGGATGGAGGTATCTGACCTGGCTCCCTCCTGCCCTCAGACCACCTTGGAATGTACCCTGAGGCCAGGCTTGGTTTACAACAAGGTGAACCCCATCTTCCATCACTGGAGCCTGGGTGACTGCAAGTTTGGGCTGACGTTTCAGAGTCCTGCAGAAGCTGATGAATTTCAGAAGAGCCTGCTGGCAGCACTGGCTGCCCTGGGTCGAGGTGAGTGGTACAGGCAGCGGGACCTGGGCGCTGGTGGAGGGGTGGGAGAAGCTGGGGCCACAGAACTTATTCTCTGCTTCTCTCCCTGCCGCAGGCTCGCTTACCCCCTCCTCCTCCTCTTCCTCCTCCCCTTCCCAGGACACGGCAGAGACTCCCTGCCCCCTGACGGTGAGTCTCCAGGACCAGCTCTGCTGGAAGGGCAGGGGTTTATTTCTATTCTGCAAACATCCTTGAGCACCTACTGTGTATCAGGCATCATGACACAAGCCGGGGACAGAAATTTGGGCCCAAACTCTCAGGTCAACTCAATCCCAGTTATTCTAGTTTCTGTTCTATCATGATAGAACATACTCACACATTCATTCAAGGGTATTTATTGAACACCTTCCATCAATCAGCAGTGTTTTAGGCACTGGGGATACATCAGTGAACAAAACAAAGTCCCTTTCCTTATGGAGTTTCTCTTCTAGTGTGGAAAGGCAGAACAAAAAAATTTTTAAAGATAAACTATAAAAATGAATCAATATTAATAATAAATGGATGAACAAGTTAATGACAGGTCCACCCTTTCAGTTTCTCAGGGTACAAGCCTTGAAGTCATCCTTGACTCCTCTCTTTTTATGCCCCTCATCTAATCTGTCAGCAAGTATTGGCTTCACTTTCAAAATGATCAGACTGCCTGCAACCTGGTAACAGTCCAACCTCACCTCCCAACTAGACCATCCCACCAGCTTCTCATTGTCACCCCCTACCCCATCCCCTAATACCTCTTCGTGCACACAGCCAGAGGGACCCTATTGACATCGAAGTCAGATTATGGCCAACCTCCACTCAGAACCCTCCCAGGGCTCCATCTCACTCAGGGTAAAGAACAAAGTCCTTACAGTGGTATATAAAACCCCACACCATCTGGCCCCCTTTTTTTCTTCCTCTTCCTTCCTCTGCTTCAGCCATACTGACCTCCTCACTGTTACTCCAAAAGGACAGGCACATTCCTGTCTCAGCTCCTTTGCACTGGCTGGGCCTTCTGTCTTGAAACACCTTTCCCTAACTTTCCACATGGCTCATACCCTTATATTCTTTGGGGCTTTACACATGTCGCCCTGTCAGTGCAGCCCTCCCTGGGGACCCTGTTTAAAATTGCAATCTCCTAATGCTCCTTATCCTGTTCTAATTTCCCCCCAGCTTCTAAGATATTTTCCTTCTTTTCTTTCTCAATAGAGAATTTTATCTTTTAGTACTGTCATTCTCCCATGCTAGAATGTCAGCTCCTGGAGGGCAAGGATCTTTTGTTGCTTTCTTGCTGCATCTCCAAGGCTTAAAACAGGGCCTGGTAGGTATGCAGTAAGTGTTCAGTAAAGATGTGTTGAATAAATTTATTGAATCGATAGATGCACAGGATGTCCAATGCGATCTGGCACTTGCCGGGAACAGTGGGAGTTGCTTGAGAACACTGAGGGACAAAACCGGTCCCCTGGGCAGACCAGGGGGATTCCCAGGGTCATGGGAGATGCAGGTGGGTCTATAAAAATCACATAGACAGTTCTCGATGATTGACACTCGGGAAAACTGCTGTACCTCCCATGCTCCATCTCACATCCTCACAACAGCCTCTGTGAGCCTGGCATGTCGTTGGTGTTCAATGAATGGCTTTTGAAGATAGGAAACAGATGAGGTAGGAATGATTCCCAAGTTACAGAAAGGAAATCCAGGGTCTGAGAAGTGCCGTTTCAGCTTGTAAAGGACAGAGCTTGGTCTGGATGGGAAAGAACAAATTCCAGGTGGGTGAAACTGCCCCAATAAAGGTGTGGTGGTGGGCATGAGACTGGGGAGCAGCTGACTGGCTAAACGAGAGGGCTTCTGAGAAGGGAGGAGGATGGTTTGATGTTCTGTAAGTTGGTGAGCTGAACAGATAAAAAGAGGGCGTCAATTAATAACAATAACAATGACCAGCTCTTCCTGAACTTCAGGCTTGTGTTGCGCCCTTTACAGTGGGGCCTAATCACAGCCTTATGAATAGATACTATTATGATCCCCATTTTACAGAGGAGGAAGCTGAGGCTCAGAGAGATGAGCTCACTTGCTGGAGGTCACACAACCAGCCAGAGGCAGAGCCGGGGTTTGAACCCAGGCCTGTCTGGACGCAGAGCCCTCGCTCGAAATGGGAGGGGGTCTGTGTGAGGGCATTGGCTGGGCTGTGCCGGTCCGGCTCTGAGGCCGCCAATCTCCCCCAGTCCCACGTCGACAGCGACTCCTCCTCCAGTCACAGCCGCCAGGAGACGCCTCCCACCACTGCTGCGGAGGCCCCCGTGGTCACTGTGGAGTCAGCTTCTGGCTTCGGGCCGGCCACGCCGCCCCAGCTCCGACGCTCCCCTGCTCAGGTGAGCCCTCCGACCCCTAGCAGTAGTCAGAGGTTCCCCATGGGGTGCCACGGCCCGAAGCGGGCAGGAATGAGGCTGCAGAGCGGGGAGAAACCGCAAGCATCCTAAGGGATGGCTGAATGGAGTTAACAGGTGGGGTGGGAGGGTAGCTGGTAAGCCTGGGGATCCTGGGAGGGTTAGGCAAGGGCTTCCAGCGTCTCCTGCTCTCCTGGAAATTTTGAATAGTTCTGAATTCCAGAGGGGCTTGGGGGATGACTTGGGCGATTAATTCTTCTGGTATATTAGCGGGTTGCTCCTGGATTTTGAGAGAGGACAGGACTGGGTCCTTACGGGGTGGGGTTGGTGCCTGGATTCTTCTGTACGTCCCTGGATTTCTTCCGCCCCTGGGGGAGGGGTGGGCTAGGGGTGTGGGAGTCTGACTGCCGGACTCAGGCCGTAGGATCCTCGGACCAACGAAGTCTTGGTGGGGTCTTTGGAGTCTCAGGCTTTCTGAGACTGGGATGGACGGGGGTTGTGGCAGAATGTCAGGGATCACAAATCCCACTAATGGGTTCTCCTGTCCCTTCATCCCACAGAGCTACCCTCCGCTCCTACCGTTCACGGGATTTCCGGAGCCCGCAGAGCCCTCGGCCGGGGCAGGGGGCCTGGGCTGGGGCGGCCGTGGCTATGAGGATTACCGGCGCACCGGGCTGCCCGCGCCCCTCACCCTGTCCACCTGCGTCGTTCGCTTTGCCAAGGCTGGCGCGTTGAGGGGTGCAGCCATGGGACCCCCAGCCGCCCTACCTGCCCCTCTCCCAGAGGCTGGGCCCCCGGCGCCAGCCAAGGCCTCCCCCGAGGCCGAGGCGGCGGCGCGTTGTGTGCACTGCCGCGCGCTCTTCCGCCGCCGAGCAGACGGGCGCGGAGGCCGCTGCGCCGAGGCCCCAGACCCGGGCCGCTTGCTGGTGCGCCGTCTCAGCTGCCTGTGGTGTGCAGAGAGCTTGCTCTACCACTGCCTGTCGGACGCCGAGGGCGACTTCTCGGACCCGTGTGCCTGCGAGCCGGGCCACCCACGGCCCGCCGCGCGCTGGGCCGCGCTGGCCGCCCTGTCGCTGGCGGTGCCCTGCCTCTGCTGCTACGCGCCCCTGCGCGCCTGCCACTGGGTTGCAGCGCGATGCGGCTGCGCCGGCTGCGGGGGTCGCCACGAGGAGGCTGCACGGTGAGGATAGCCTGGTGGATGCGGCCCCCAGAACGAGGACCCGAAATTGTGGGTCCAGGACCCCGGCCTCCGTTCGGACCCCAAACCCAAACCTAGGCACAGCCGGAACTTGGAGCTCAAGTTTGGAATGAGAGACCCCTGACCTGGAACCCGGACCCTAAATCTGGGATTGAGGGATCCCAGGCCCAGCTTCACTGGGCTGTCTACCCAAGAGGTCTCAGGCATCCTGAGCTGTCATCTTCACCCCGCTGTCCCCTCCCCCATGGCCTAGGCTGAGGAGACTCCAGTCATCCCCAGTCTCTGCACTGGGAGCACACAGATCCTGACAGACGCAGGGCCCTGACCCCTGACCGAACCCTCAGATTCCAGCCCCAGAATTAGTCGGGAGTTGGGAATGCCTGACCCTGCCTGTATACAATTATTTTCAGATCTTGAGATCTCAAGACCCAGAATCACCCCAAGTGATTCCTGAATGCTTACCTAAAACCTGGGGAACCCATATCTGAGGAGTTCTTGTAGGGGACCCCTGAGACCCTGGGCCCTCTTAAAATGCCCCGAGTTCTAGATATGCTCAAACAGATGTTCTCTGACCAAAATGGCCTGAGACACCCATCTCAGAGTCCCTCTCCTCCCCCCATGGAGATGTCAGGCTCCAAGATGCTCTGGGAGCCAGGGATCAAAGACTGCTGTAGACCCCCCAACCCCCAGCCAGTGTTCCCAGGAGCTTTGAATCTCGTATATAGGACACTGAGGTGCCTAGTACTTTCAGATTGAAGGCCACCAACCTCCAGGCCCAAAACACTAGTCCCAAATCCTCAGATAGCCCTCTTGGACTTGGATTTCAAGTCTTGGAATGTCCTGGAATCTTTGGCTTCTTTGTACCCACAAATCCCCAATCCCCTAAAGGCTAGAAGCCCAGCTCCCAGAGGATGGGATGTTCATGACAACCCTGACCTCTGTCCCCTTGGTCCCCAGTCCCTGAGTGACCCCAAGGTGCTTTAGGAGCACGAGATCCAAGATCCCAAGGTGCCAATGACCTTTCAAATTCAGGTCTCAAGCCTACACAGCATTGGGATTATCCCTGACCAAGACCTTGGTCCCTCCATACCAGATCTGAGGTGCCCCAGGACCCTAGCACCCTTGGATTTAATTTCTTTGGACTCAAACCTCTTTAGCCTGATATTCCTTGCAACCTCTGCCCCTTGAATTCTTCTGTCTACAGGCCTCTGAGACCCCAAGACCCCAGACTCTGGAATTCTAGTTCTAAGGGGCCCTGCCCATGTCCCCAGCATCCCACAGAACTATCCCTTTACCCTGGGGGAAACCCCACCACCACCACCATTTTGAGCTCATGTTCTTGGATTCCAGGACCACTGAGTTCTCCCACTCCCACCTCTAGGACCCAACATTGCCATAGATGATTGTGCAGGTTGTTCACTAACCAAAGACACATGGTTAAGGTGGTGAGTAGGCTGGGATTCACACCACACTCTGCTGGCCGCACTGTGCCCTCAGAGGAAGGTGTGCCTATTTGTAAGCTGCACAAAGGCACCTTTTGGGCTAGCTATGGCTCTGCTAATATTTCTCTCTCTCTCTCCCCCTCCCTCTCTCTCTCCCCCTCCCTCCCTCTCTCTCCCCTTCCCTCCCTCCCTCCCTCCTTCTCCCTAGCCTTGCAGACTCCTTCCCAAAACCATCCTTGAGTCCTAGCCCTAGTCCAAGCTTTTTATGTTTTGCCTTCCATTAACCCCTTCTCTTGCATCTCAGAGTTGAGGGTTGCTTTAGAAAGTCTGAAAGCCTTTTCATGGCCTTCTGAGACCCCTCTTCAGGGGAAAGGGGATGCCACAGTCTCTTTCCCTGACTGGAATGGGACTTCCAGGGTCCCTCAGATCTGGTGGTCTGGATAGGGGGGTGGGGTGGCGGTCAAGCCTTGGAGCAAGACCATCACAATGTTGTATGGGCTTGGAACCTGCATCTGGTCCCAAGCATCTGGAAACGTGCACTTACCTTTCTTCAATAATCAGACTTGGGTGGCCTTGTGGGGGTTCAAGGGATAGGTCAAGGGGGCCAGAGGGATAGAACCTTCTGTCACTTCCTTTAAATGATTAACAATTTATTACATCTGGAACCTGTGAGATTCAGCTCTCCCAACCAGACCCCGGGATGGGTGAGAAAAAGAGGGGTGTCCCTCTCATCCCCACTCTGCCCAGCTCTCATCACTGTCAGACCCACCAGAGCTGAGGGCAGAGGGACTGGAGGCTGGGGCACCCTGGGTCCCCATCCCCCTCTCTGTGCCTCGGTCTTCTCCCTTCCGTGGTGGGCAGGGGGAAGCTCCATTCTTAACCTACCTCGTTTCGGGGAGGGGTGGGACAGGGGACCAGAGTGCTGTAAGGTGCTGTGGGATCTGCGGATGAAGCAGGGGGGCTGGGGAAAGGTACCCCCAGCACTGCCTCTCCCAGGTCTCCCAGTCCTACTCCCTGATGATACCCACCTCTGATCCATGAATTCTCTTCATCACCCCAATATCAGGGGTGCATGGAGGGCTGAACCTGGGAGCCAGGAAGACCTCACACCCTGGAGTCCCCAGGCCCAATTTCCCAGCTGCTTGCCCCTCAGATTGGATGCTTGGCCCCCAGACTTGGGGGAGGCACCCTGACATTTATCTTCCTGATCTTGATTCCAAGCCAGTCTGTGACCTCAATATTGTTATTGTCAGTGCCGGCTGAAGTGGTGGGGGAGCCAAAGACCCAGCCTTGTCATCGGGGGAGGGGGCATGAGATATTTGCTCCAAGAAATGTCTTAGACAAAGTCTCAGGCTGTGTTCTTTATTTGCATTGACGTGCCCCATCCCCTCACCTTCCTGAACTGCCAAACCAGTCTCCTACCCAATTCTCTTCTCCTTCACATCCGTTAGTCCCAAGCAGACCCTCCAGTTGAATTTATACATTCATCAAGTACATTTATTGGACACCCATTATTTGCCAAGCCCTGTTTGAGACTCTGGAGATAAAGCAGTGAACAGAACACAAAATTTTCCCACACGTTGCTTATGAACTTTATAGTGAAGAATGCAAATAAATGACATGTTAGAAATGATAATGTACTCTAGAAGATGTGGAGATGAGGGATGAAGTCAGTTTTAGCCTGGGCCTCAGTGACGAGCATCTGAATAAAGCCCCGAGGGAGTTCTGTGGGAAGAAGAGCTTTGCAAGTAAAGGGAAGTTGGTGAAAGACCCTGAGGGAGGAGCATGTCCGGTAAGTCTGAGGGACTTCAAGGGAGCTGAGTATCTGGAGAGGAGAAAGCAAGGAGGAAGGTACTTGAGAGATGAGGGCAGATCTGTGGGGCCTTGCAAGCCAAGCAGGACTTTGGTGTTCACCCTGAGTGAGATGGAGCTACAGGAGAGATGTGACCAGACTTAGGTGTTCACAGGTTCCCTCTGGCTGCCTGTGGGGAACAGGCTCCTGGGGAGGGAGATAGGAAGGAGGCTGCTCTGATGGTCCTGGAGGTGACAATGGCATACTGGACCAGGGCCAGAGCAGTGGAGGTGGGGAGAAGTGTTTTGAAAGTAGAGTCCACACATTTAGATATGGGGGTTGATATAAAGAGAGAAGTCAAGGTTATGACTCCAGGATTTTGGCTTGAGCAATTTATAATGTTTTACTAAAGGCAATGGAATACCCGGTCTTGAGGTAGACAGCACTAAAGTGGAAGTAGGGGAAGGGCAGGCTCTACCCCTAAGGAGAAAATTTTGGCCTTTGTTCTTCCCTGAGGCCCAACACCTGGCCCACCCCTGCTCCCAACAGAATAATTTAGGAAGTCCTGGAGACCAGAATAAGAGTCAGTAAGAGATGAAATCTGGAACAATTTAAACAACAGCAACAAAGCAGTAGCAGTCAAGACAGTTGTAACAGGTTAAGGGGTTAAAAGCATGGACTTTGGAATGAGAGCTGAATTGGAGCCCTGGCATCACCACACATTGGGTGCGACTTACCCTCTCTGAACCTCAGTCACATGGGGGTAAATTCTTGGCCCAGCGACACACAGGAAATGCTCAGTCTATGCTGTTATTATTGAGTACCACCTGTGTGTCCACTAAGCACTTACACACAGGACTCTAACCCTCACAACTCTAAGAGGTAAATATTATTTATCCCCATTATAGGTTTGAAAGGGATTTGGCGGCGACCAATTTCATGCTGGCCTGACTCCTAGGGTGCAATCTCAGTCACGGTGGAATGTTGCACCTGCTCGCTTTCCGAGCCCTGGGAGGCAAAGGGGGGTAGTCCCACAGGCGCATGGCGATCCAGGAGGAGGTCCTCTGCTGGGGGCGTGTGTGTGTGTGCGCGCGCGCGTGTGAGTGAATTGTAAGGCGGGCTTTCTGGGATCCTGACGTAACTCCAACCCTAAACAGGGAAGGAGGGAATAAGTTTCTGGATTTGGAGCGGAGTTGGAAGAACAACACTTGGTCTAGGGTGCTTAAAAGCTGAGAGTATCTGCGGGAGGTTGAGGAAAGAAAACCGAAGGTGCTTCTACATTGCAGCAGTAGCGACACCCGCTGGGCTGTCGGGACAGCCGGGATCCTGAACGCACGCTCGGTTTTCACAGCCCGGACGGTTTCGGGGCTCTGTTCGTCTATCCCGGGAGCCGCGTTCTAAGTTTCGGCGGGGGCGGAGTCGGGGGCGGACTTGGGGGCGGGTTCTGCCTCCCTCTGCAACAATCGGAACGCCAAAGGCCCTTCGCGGGAAGATGCTATTGGTCGGTTACGCTGCAGCGCCGGGTGCGCACGCCGTTCCGGGGCGGAGCCTCCTGCCGACCTGCGGGGGCGCACGCCTGGCATACCGGCAACGTTTCTATGGAGGGGGCCGAGGCACCGGAAGTGGCGGCGGTGGCCCGGGACTTGCAGGCCCTAGGGTAAGGGGCGCAGGGTGCGGCTGGCGGCGTGCTGGAAGGGGCAGGTTTGCCCTCAGCAATTCTTATGACCTCCCCCGCCCCCTCTCGCTGCCTGGGCGCCGCCGCAGGTATGAAAACTTCCTGGAGGCGGCGGCGCTGGGCCCCTCGTGCCCAGACTTCAGGGCGCTGTGCGCGCGGCTGGCGGCAGAGCTGGCGACTCTGGGCGCCTTGGAGCGGGAGCGAGAGGAGGGCGCAGAGGCGCTGAGTGTCGGCGACGGTACGTGTGGCGCAGCTGGCCCACGGGGGTGGAGCCCGGGTGCCGCTGCCGCGCCCTGAAGCCTCCCGCCTGCCGCCTCCCGCAGGCCCCAGCGCTGAGGAGGAATTCCTGCGACAACTCTCCGGCCTGCTGCAGGAGCTGCATTGCCCGGACCGCGCGCTCTGCGGCGCAGACTGTCGGACCGCGCTGCGGGAGCGGGGCTCGAGCCTGCGCCTTCTGCGTGAGCCCGGGGCGGGCCCGGGGTGCGGAAGTGGGCGAGGCCTCGGCCACTAGGGCTGCTGGGCTCAGCACCTGGGGGAGGAGCCAGGGTTTCCCCGAAGGGGCGTGGTCATAATTTAGAGGCCTGCGAGAGGGGCCGAGGTAGGTGAAGTCAGGACCTTGGGGCGGGCTTAGGCCTCCGAAGGTGGGCGGAATTAGAATTTTGATGGGAGGGTCTTGAAGCTCAAGTGGGTTGGGTTAGATGGAGCCTGGCACTTGGTTCTCAGGTGGGCCAGGTTCGAAGTCCGTGGAGGAAACTGGGTCTTGAAATGGGTGGAGATTATTCTGGGGCTAGAGCCAGGGTCCTAGGTGAGCGAAACTAGAAAGCGAGAGGTTTTGAAGCTGCTGAAGCTTTTTGACCCTGGGGGGTGGCTAGCAACACTCCTAGACTGCACCACTCTCTTTCCCTACTTGTAGGATTTCTCTGCACAGAGCTCCAGGCTGCCCGCCTCCTTAACCTGCAACCCCAGCCGGGTTCCACCCGGGCAACGCCGCCGCCTGGTGGGGAAGGGGCAGAGGAGGGAACTGGCATGGTTCAGGAACTGGTCCTTATCCTCCAAGCGCTGGGGCTGCCCAGACCTACGCAGGGAACCCTCGCCAGCAGGCTGCTGCAAGAGTTGCATGCCAAGGTAGAAAGCCAGAGTCCTCTGCACACCTGAGCCACCCCACCTTCCTTGCAGGGGGAGAGCCCTTTTTCCAAAAGAGGTTCTGGGTGGAGTATGCCCTAACCACTGCTGTTTACTAGAGCTGTGACTGCTATTCTTAAGTCGTGTCCGGGTCCTCAGGGCTGTGGGAAACTGGGGTCTACGGAGAGTTCTTACAGTTTCTTACAGTTCAGTTAGCTTCAAACTCATCCCATCAGATCTCAGAGCTGCTGCCTTCCCTGCCCCCAGGATCCCTGCAGCCCCTCCTAAGCTACCCGCTGGATGCACCCAGATGGGTAAGACTGTGTATGGCTGTATGCAAATAATGTCCTCATTCAGAGACGGGAGTGGGGAGTGGGCCCTGGCATGACCAAGACATTTCTCCCCAGGAAGCGTTGGAGTCCCTGGGCCAAAGCCTTCGAGGTCAGTATTGCTGCCGCCGCTGCCTCCTTCTCAAGCGTCTGGACCTGACAACATCTGCATTTTACTGGAGTGATCGGGCAGAGGTGTGGGCATAGGACCTGGCAGGAGCAGGGAGACCCAGTGGTGGGAGCTACCCCTGCAGGGTATAGGAATGAGGGCCAGGAATATCATCCTCTTGCACATTCTGAGGCCCAGGACAATGTAGAATCTTGTGAGGTTGGGGCTCTAGAATCTCAGGGCCTACAGGGCATTCTAGATCCCAGGGCCTCCAGAGCATTCTAGAATTTCCAGCTCTGAATTGGGAGTGTCTTTAGAGCTATACCCCTTGTTTAGAGATATAGGAAGTGAGACCCTGAGCGAGGAAGAAATGCTTCCAAAATGAGAGATCCTTTGCCCTGACTGGTTTGGCTCAGGAGTTAGAGTGTGGACCTGCGGATCCAAGACTCACAGGTTCAATTCCCTTGGTTGGGGGTTCGATCCCCCGCCCCAGTCAGGGTTGTGCAGGAGGCAACCAATTCATGTGTCTCTTTCACATCAATGTTTCTCACTCTCTCCCTCCCACTCTATCTGAAAAAAAAAAAAAAAAAGGAAAAATACTGATTTTTTTTCCTCAGGTGAGGATTAAACAAACAAAAACAAAATGATAGATGCCCCTTGATTGGCTCTTGGGCACCTTTTCCATGTCCCCTCACCACCTCCAGGCCCTAGGGGAGGCCATGAAGGCAGTGCTGATCCCAGTTCGAAAGACTCTGACCCCAGAATCAGATGTCTCCATTGCACACATCCTGGCTGCCCGAGCTGATCTGTCTCGTCTTGTCCCTGCCACAAGCAAGGATGCCCGCCGAGGGACCTGCTGTGCCATCAACAAGGTGGGCACCTTGGGGTGGGGAAGAGCCCCAGCATCTTTGGTCTTCAGACTGGCCTTTCAGCCTCTGCCCTGGCCCAGCCTTGTCCTCTCCTTCCTGGTTCCTGGCCTCTGGACTCGTCACCTCTAACCCACCCTCTCTACATGGCAGTTGGAGGCATATTTCTAACTCGGAAATCTGGCCACATCCCCCTGCCACCCCCCAGGTTCAAAACCCTCCTGTGGTTCCCCAGTGCCTTCACAACAAAGTCCAGCTGAGCCCCATGCCCACCTCTCCAGCTTTGGCTTAAACTCCTCCCCCAACACCTCACCCTGTCTATTGTTATTGGTTTTGAGTCATTTTTAAAGCAGAGATGCCCTCTGTTTAAATGATTAAGTATTTGGCCTTAAACTCTCAGTTTAAATAGTCTTATCCTTCTGTGAATGAATATTAGGGAATGAATTAGCACAGCAAAGAGTGAAGTAAAATTTAGAAAAAAGTTATTTGCTTTAAGAAGTATAGTAAGTAAAGGATATTATAGGTGATGCACAGTGATGGGTATTTAGAAAAACACTGGTTTGCTGGAAATGTTACACAAAGCCCCAGCTGTGAAATAGACAGAAGTTGAGGTGTCCTCCTTACTTTTGGTGGGGACTTGGACCTCTGCCATCGCTCTCACTTTTATTTCCCTCTCGCTGAGGCCCCTGTAACCCAGTTTGAAAGCTCCAGTCTTCCACCAATCCAGTCCCCTAGACCCTCCCACCCATTGTACCCAAATAGTCAACATCTCTGCCCTTCCTTTTTTAACCTTGCGTTGTTCTCTTGGCTCTCTGGCCCCCTTGTCCAAGATACTTTTCTTCTCTGAAACTAAAGTCTGATCAACCCTCAGGTGCTTATGGGCAACGTGCCAAACCGAGGGGGCCACCCAAATGACTTGGAGGCTCCCATGCCCAGCTGGCAGAGCAGAAGAGAGGCTGGAGGCTGGAGGAAGGCCGGCCGCCAGGGCTGGGGCCGGAAGAAGAAGAAGAAATAAAGGGGGACTGGTGGTTGGGGTAGGGTCCTCTATGAGATGCTGACGCCATTGACAATCTCTGGGGAGCCGATTTGAGGGTCTTTCTTGGTACCTGGCATCCAGCCCACATCTCCTGTTCCTGAGGCCCCAGTGTTCTCCCCCACCCACCATTTAACACCAACGACCATGTTCTCTGCAAAATAAATTTAATTTATGACAGCTGTAGGACCTGTCTCTGGTGGGGCAAGGTCAGGGGTACACGGGTTTGAGGAGGAGTAGGGGGGATCTCTGTCCTTGGGGGTCTAAATAGGCCCTTGGTGCTCTGACTCTCAAAGTTCTTTGCTGTTCAGCAACATATCTTTCCCTTCCTGTGGACATGGGGAAGGCGATGTGCAGGCATTGGACAAACACCGGGTATCCACTGTGTGCCAGCCCTGTTCTGGGCCCTGAGGATAAAGCTGTGAAAGGTGCAGAGAAATGAAAACCCCCGTTTTCCTGGAGTTCACGTTTCTGGTAAGGAAGGGCAGATACCCAACAAGAGAAATAGGTCAAATGTATAGTTGCCAGTTTAGAAAAGGATTTTGGAGGAAAATAAAGCTGGAAGGTATGATTGGGACCCTGGGGAGATTGCAACTTTGAATAATGGTGAGGGGTGGCCTCACCAAGGTGACGCTTGAGCTAAGCCCCAAAGAGGGAGTCATGTGGGCCTCGGGAAGAGTGTTCCAGGCAGAGGGAACAGCCAGTGCAAAGGCCCTGAGGTAGTATTTTGGGCATGTTCAGGGACCATTGAGGCCAGTGTAGCTAAAGCAGGATGAGTGAGGGGGCAGGGGGTGGGAAGTAATAGGGGCAGATTGTGTCGAGGGGGCCACAGTGAGGACTCTGGCTTTCATCCTGCGTGAAATGGGGCCTCGTGGTCTGTTCATAGGCTCCCCTTTCCACTCCTCTAGCCTTCTCCCCTGTTTCTGGAACCCCAGAGTTTGAAACTGACCACCCTATCCCCTCCTACCCCTGACCCACGCTGTCAGTGTAGCACGTTGGTCAGACAGAAGACTTAGGTTTGAGTCCTGCCTTCAACACTTAGAAGCCCTGCCCCCTTGGGCGAGCAGCTTAACTTCACTGAGCCTCAGTTTCTTCATCTGTAAAATGGAGATTTAAGGAGTTGGTGAGATAATGCTAAAGTTTAAATGCATCCAACGCGGAGCTGCACACTTTAAGTGCAGGGAGAGGGAGTACGATAAATAGCTACTCTGATGCAAGAGAAGAAGATGACTTTCAGGGGTAAGAGATGAGGGATGCTTTAACGAAGGCAGCATGGATGCAAAGGGATGGTCCCTGGGGAGTTCTGCTGGAGGCGGAAGAACATGACTTGGGACTGGCTCTGTGGTGGTGGAGAGGAGACCAAGGTGATGTCTAGGAATTTGGCTTGGAGGACTGGATGGGTGGCGAGGCCATCACTGGGAGGGGAACCTGGAAGGAGGAAGACATTGGATGATGCAGGGCGGTACGATGTCCAGGAGGTATTTCACTGCCAGGAGCAGTACCCACCATACTTGCTGGGTGAATGAATATCTGCTGGGGAACTTTTTTCTTTTCCTTTTTCTTTTTTATAATCCTCACCTGAGGACATTTTTCAATTTTTTTGTTCAGGTAGAGTGGGAGGGAGAGAGAGAGAGAAACATCGATGTGAAAGGGACACATCGAGTGGCTGCCACCCACATGACCCCAACCAGGGCTGGGGACAAACTGCAACCGAGGTACGTGCCCTTAGCGGGAACCAAACCCGGGTCTCTCGGGACTGCAGGCCGACGCTCTAACCACTGAGCAAAACCGGCCAGGACTGGGGAACTTTTTTCAACCCAATCTGCGAGACTCTGCCTTTGGATAGTGGACTTGACTCCGTGGACATTTATTGTAGCTCCTGATCTGTTTGGCCTTATTCTTGCTGTCTTACTGTTTTTTTTCTTTTTTTCTCCCTAAAATTCTTTCTGTTCTACTCCTGGCTACCCCTTCTTCCCCTCAATAGACTGAAATTTCTATTTTTCTAACAACATTAAAAATTAACCAGAGTCCATACTCTCCTACCCAAGTAATTGAGGACTTGTACACATTTTTACTTTCCTGTGCTTCCCCAAATCTGTTTGGGTTTCCCAGGCAAGTGAGTTGGTCTCCTCTATATCCAGTTGGGGTTAGGGGGCAGTTCCTCCTCACCGTCTCTAGTTCCCAGGAAGGGTGTGGGGGCTCTGTCTGGGTCCAGGCATGGTGAAGGTGGCACCCCGTCTCAGGTTCCAGGGAGTGTGTGTAGGAGAGATTGTCCTCAGAGCCTGTTTGTGGGGTATGGGTGGGAAGAATGTGGGTGTGTTGGGAAGGGTTTCATGACCTTGGGATGAGTCCCCATCCACCAGGCCCCCCTTGCAGGACCGCTGCACCCTGGGTCTTACCACAGCTGGTGTGGGGTATTGGTGTAGGTGGGATGGGGGTTTCGGGGGGGCTCACATCGCCCTTGGCCCCTGGTCTCTTACACTCTTCCTTCACTCGGTCTCTGCAGTGTTTGTGGCAACACAGCCCACAGTCTGGGGGAAGGCGGCGGTTAGTGGCCAAAGGCCCAGTCCCTGCCCCCATTCCTCCAGGCTGCAAGTCTTGAATTCCCTCCCCCCTCACTGAGGGCCCACTCACCCCGACAGCGGTAGCCTTGCTTGGTGACACCCCAGAGCTGGGAAGAGAAAGCAGAATAGGTCACCATGGCTAGGGGAGGGAGAGCCGGGGATGGGGTGGGGGCTGTTTGACAGGGAACCATCCAGGGTTTAGAAATTAATCAAGGCGGCCAGAGGCGCGTGGGATCCGAGGAGTAAAGGAATTTGATCTCAAGCTTGGAGAGTCGAGGCTGTTAGAATTGGGTCAGATTTGGAATTCTGTGGCCACATTGTGTCTGTTGCATTTCCTGCTGTGCCCCCCCCCCCCCCACACACACCCTGAGCCTAGAACTGTGCTGGCAGACAGGAGGGGCTCGATAAATATTTAGTGAATGAAAAGCAAATTTGAGAAGGCCGAGGTTTGTAAATGAGCCTTGGTTTGGAGATTGAGAGATTTGTCCGTTATCCAGAGTCTAAGGGGACATTTGGAAATAACCAGGGTTTGAATTATTTAGAGTCAGGAGACTTGGAGATTGACTGCTTGGAGATGATCTGCCCAGGTTTGCAGATTAAATTGGGTTTTAGGTGTTGTCCGTGTCTTGGCAGTTTTCCAGGATGGAGGTCATCTGGGATTTGGGTGTTAGCTAAATTTTGGAGTCATTGGATGTAGAGAATAGCCATGTTCAGGGTATATATGAAATGTGGGGGTTATCTGAGGCGGAAGGGTTTTCTGAATTCGGGGATCTGGGGCTTTGGAACTGAGTATCCCAGGGAAGGGCTGGCTTCTGGGCCCAGACTGAGCAGCGAGGCCACTCGGAAGATGGGCCCCAGGGGTGATGGCGGGGTGAGTGCTCACGAAACCATTGCAGCTGTCACAGAAGGTGGGCTTGCGGAAGGTGACCTCGTGGAAGGTGTGCAAGAAGGCCAGGCCCAGCTTGGAGCAGATGGCGCTGGCCCGCAGCAGGTACGCCGTCAGCTCCTCACGGCTGAAGGAGCCACTCCTGGGGGCAGAGGCCTTGCTTCAGCATGGCTGGCCCCTCTCCCCCAGACCCGGAGTCCTGACAACCCCAGGATTCTCATCTGCGGGGTGCCTAGGAGTCAGGACACTTACCCCTGGCGGGGGGGTGGGTGAAGCCCATGGCAGGCAAAGGGGAAGTTTCCTGAGAGTCGCTCAAAGTCCTCAAAAGAGATGGTCCCTCGGCCCTCAGGGTCATAATTCTTGAACACGGACTTCGGAGGAGCATGGGAAGGGGAGAGTAAGATCAAGTCACGATCCCTTCAGTCTTAGATCCCCTCTTCCAGGTCAAGGCTATACAGACAGCTTCCTTCCTGGCCCCCAGCAGCCAGGCCCAGTCCCCTCCTTACCTCCACCAGCTGCTCCACATGCCGACCTAGGGTGGCCCTGTCAGGCTTGGACGTCACACCAGGGGCCCATTCCACCACCAGGGGTGCTTTGAAGGGGGAGGGTGGCTGGGGCAGGGGCAGAGGGGTACAGTTAGTCAGTGCATGGGCTTGGGCTGGAAGTCAGAGATCAGGGGTCATGTCTCACCAGACTCTTGGGACAGCGAGGCTCCCGGGCATAAGAAAGCTCGTAGATCTCGTCCTCGGTGTAGAAGAGATCCAGGGAAAGCTGGAGGTGGGCAGGGTGTTACAGAGCCTCTGTCTCCATCCTGCCTACTGCCTGGACCTCCACTGTCCTCTTCCCAAAAGCCCCATCTTCTCTGGGGACCCCTACAGTCTTCTGAGACCTAGTCACTCTTCAGTGCACCTGTCCCCTCGTACAGATACGTCATTTTCTCACCGAGGCTCTATTTCGACCTATTTTTTTTTTCTTTTAATTCTCACCAGAGGATATTTTTCTATTTATCTGCAGATAGAGTGGGAGGGAGATAGAGGGAGAGAGGGAGAGAGAGAAACATTGACTTGAGAGGGACACATCAACTGGTTGCCTCCCGCACAACCCTGACCATGGCTGGGACAAACCACAACTGAGGTACGTGCCCTTGACCGAAATTGAATCCACGACTCATTGATCCACGGGCCAACGCTCTACCGCTGAACCAAACCGGGCAGGTCTATTTCGTCTTATTAATTTTTTTTTCTTTATTGATTTTGGAGAGGAAGGGAGAGGGAGAGAGAGAGACAGAAACACCGATGAAAGAGAACATCAATTGACCTCCTCCTGCATGCCCCCCACTGGGGATCAGGCCCACAACCTGGGCATATGTCCTGCCCAGGAATTGAACCAGCGACCCCTTGGTGCATGGGTCGATGCTCAGTCACTGAGCCACACCGGCTGGGCATATTTTGTTCTATTCAAAAGCATAACCCCCTGCCCCTTTCTATGCCTTTTTCTGCCTTAATTTTCTCTATCTCACTTACCCTCTGAAAGACCATATGGTTTATGTATTTGCTTTGTTTTATGGGCTGTCTCCCCCACTAGGATGTCAGCCCCACAAGAACAGCCATTTCTTTTCTGACTCGCTCACCACTGTGACCCTAAGAGGCTGGCGCACAGTGGCTGCTCAGTAACTATTGGGCTGATGGCCTTTCAGAGTCAGCAAAGCATAGGGCCTCTGGCACCACTCATACTGGGGCAGGGCCAGCCTCACGGGCAGGCCTCACACTTTGACGGGCCTCCACGTTGATGCCCTGCCATCCAGGCCTTGAAATCTTCAGAATTTGGAAGAAGGAACTCCCACATTTGGACACTGCAAATTATGTCGCTGCTCTTGTCTTAGGGTCTGAAAATCAACTTTTCAGCCTTAGACGTGGGGACTTAAACATGGCCCGTAGAATCCTAGTCTCTCAATTTATAGCCTTAGAATATTAGCATATATACATGGTCAGCAAAAGTAGGTTTACAGTTGCAGTACAAATAATACAATAATTACTACAGAATAGTACAAAAACAGACTTTCACATACAATTGTAAGCCTACTTTTGCCCACCCCTCTATATATGTCTCCAGAATCCCACGCTTCTGAAGCGGGCCTGCCTGGGTTCAGATCCAGGTTTTACTGCTGTGGGAGAGTGGGCAAGGGACCTCACCTCTGTGGCCCTCAGTTTCCTGGTCTGTAGCATGGGCACGATAAGGGTCCCCACATTGGAGCTGAGCAGATGGAATGAAGTGCTCTGGAGAGTGTTTTACATGGTGCCTGGCCCAGAGTAAGTGATCAATAATCACTAGCTTTTTGGGGGGGGGGTACGTGCCCCTAGCTAGCAGAAACCGAACCCAGGACTCTCTGGTCCACAGGCTGACGCTCCAACCGCTGAGCCAAACCGGCCAGGGCTAATTATCACTAGCTTTTTGCTTTGATTCCTCGACATGTGAAAGCTTGGAGTTTTGGACTAGTAGCATAAGCTCAGAACCTTGGAGTTCAAAAGTGTGAAAGCCCAAAAATATCCTCAGGTGAGGATGAGAAAAAAGTGTGAAAGCCCAAAGCAATTCTGGAGCTCAGATCAATGGATACTTAGTTGCTGGGGAAATGGGAGGGAAATGCATCATCCATGTAGAGCTGACTGTGTTCCAGATACTAATTTAAGCACTTTATGTGAATTATCTTCTTGATTGATTCTTTTCAACCATTCTCTGAAGTGGGTCCTATTATTCCCACTTGGCAGACAAGAAAGCCGAAGCCAAGGGGTCAAGTGACTTGCCCGAGGCCACACAGCTAGGACACAAACCTAGAAGCACTGGTTTCAAAGCCTAAATAAACATCCCAACGCTATTCTCTCCTGACAGTGCAGCTCATCACCCACCCAGGACCCTAACTCTCAATACGCCCGGCTCAGCCTCCGGGAGCCCAGCCTGGGCAGGGCAGCTCACCGTGAGCAGGTGCAGCAGGTCCTCGTTGGCACTGCAGGGGGGGTGCTGCTTCTGGAGGGCTGCCAGCTCCTGCAGCCGCAGGTAGAGGCTGTTGAGTTTGGGAAGGTGCAGGCAGCCATCAGGCAGCCTGTAGGGCTGTGCTTCATGCAGGGACACCAAGTCCTTAAGGTGCACACCCAGCACAGGCAGCCGGAAGCCTGTGCAGCCAGCCCAGGCGCGGCGATAACAGGAGTAGTTGTTGTGGGCAGCGAGCAGCTCCGTCAGCTCCAGCAGGGCCTGTGTGGGAGGCCATGTTGGGGTGGGGGTGGGGGACAGTATGTTATCGGGAAAGCAGGTTCTGCTCCCTTAGGCCCCTGGAGGGGTGTATCCTAGCAGCCCCCTGTGTGGGCTCCTGACCCCTAGGGGCCCAAAGACATTCTGGACACCTCCTCGAGCCCCTCCATGTCCCACATTGGCCTCAGCATCTTCTCAAACTGCTTTTCCTCTTGGGTCTCCAGGCTAGAGTGATTTTTCCAAAACTCCAATCTAATCATGGATGCTGCCATCATTCCCAAAGGTTCCCTAGCTCCCCAGTGCCCTCTAGATAAAGCCCAGACACCTTAGTTGATCTCCCCCTGCCACCTCCTGACCTCAGCTACACACCAGGCTCATGAATGACTCACTCTCCCCCAACATTCCCAGGACATCCCATCCTATGCTCCTTCCATGGGTGGCCCAAATGTGGGCACTCTTGGGGGCGTCATTTTATCCCCCACCTGGACTTCAAATTCTTCGATGGCATCTTCCCTCATCACCTGCTCAGGACTGGACACACAGAGAGTAAGAGGGTCGGCATGACGGGGGGATGGGTGAAGAGGAAGAATGGTGGAGAACAGAGCCAGGGGTCTGTTGGATTTGGACAATCAAGGTCTCCAGGTGGTTCCAGGGCCCAGGGCAGGGATGGAGGGGGTTGGAGAACAGTGGGGATTCAAGACCACTAAAACTCTTGGGAAGGTAGTGGGGCCTCACCTTGGTGCTGTCAGGGCTCAAGTGGGTGTGGGAGTCCTTGAGCCTGGAGATGGCACTGTGACACAGGCCCCCAGTGACTGCCATCAGTGTGTTGAAATTCTGCAGCTGGTGGAGACTCTAGAAAGAGCAGAGGTGATGGGGGTCACATGTAGCACAGGCAAGCTGGGGCTTCAGATGACAGCATCCCCACTGAGAGTATCCCAGTTGAGATTGGGGTCTTAGGCACGTGTGGGTGCAGGCCAGCATGGGCATCAGCCAGGTGAGAGGTGTCAGGCAGGAGTGGGCCACAAGCAGGTATGTAGGCATTAGATAGAGGTCCGGCAGGTGATAGACTAATGTGAGGTCAGGAAAAAGTGGAGGGACTCAGTCAAGTACGAGGCGTTGGACTAGACAGGTGTGTGTCAGACAGGTGTGGGGGATTCAGACAGATGTCAGGTGTCAGGCACCTGGAGGTCCGGCTGCTCTGAGAGTCAGACAGATGGGGGGAGTCAAGAAGGTCGGGCTTTGGGCAGGTGTTAGGAACCGGCAGAGGTGAATGGGGTCGAATAGCCTTGAAACAGGTGTGGGGTCAGCTGGCCATGGTGGGGGGAGGGAATTGCTTCTCCCTCCCCTTTTCCAAGTTTGAAGGGCGCAGGTCGCTGCGGGCAGAAAGTGGAACCCAGGAGGAGACCCCCCAGGCAGAGACCCCAACCGCAGGTCTAAGGGGCGGGGCAAGGGGAGCGAGAAGCCGGAGGAAGGGCGTGGCTGCGAGGAAGTACGCTGGGGGCGTGGCCGCGCTGGGGGGGAGGGCTTCCCTTTTCTGTCTGCAGGGCAGGGCGCGACACGTGGGACGGGGCCAGGGAGGGGCCTGACCTGAGGGGAAGGGGTGCAGTCACTATCCCGAAGGGGCGGCTGGGGCCTAGGGCGGAGGATGACACAGAGGTGGAGGGGATGAAAGAGACGCTTTCATTGCCCTGGGGACAGAATATTCGGGTATAGGGCTTGGAAGACCGGGCCAGGAGGGACGTCTTCACCCGCCAAGTTCAGGACCACGGGGAAGGGCCAGGGCGGGTTCGAGGAGGTGCGCCGCAGTCCGGTAAGAGCCGCGGGGCTGAGGCCTGGGGGTGGGCGGGGCCGGGACCTGGTGACGTCACCGCCCGGGATGCACAGCTGGAACCGAAGGGGTGAGAGCGCCCACAAAGCGAGCAGAGCGGCGGGGAGGGCCTCACCTGTGCCACCTGGATGAACTTGTCCAGCACCTGTGCTCGCTGTGTGGGCCCGGGACGGCTCAGCACCATGACCTGCACCCAGCGGGACACGCTGTTGCTGAGACCTACCGATCCCTCCAGGGCCGAGCAGCCCCGCACGGAGCCCTGTAAAACGTAGTTTCGCAGGTCCTGGGGCTGGGGATGAGGTGGGCATCAGGGTGGGCCGTGGAGCTCAGGCCCTGCCCCTCCCACGCCCAGCCCGCTAGCAGTCAGGCCCTCCTATGTCCTAGCCTGGCTGTTCTGTCCCAGATGTCACCATGGCCCTTTCCCATCTGAGAAACGTTTATTTATTTCATTTTTTAAAAATCCTCACCTGAGGATATGTTTACCGATTTTAGAGAGAGGGAGAAACATCGATGTGAGAAAACCAGTCTCCCATATGCGTCTGGACCAAGGACCCAACCGAAACCTAGATATGTGCCCTGGCTGGGAATCGAACCCGAAACCTTTCAGTGTACAAAACGACGTCCCAACTGAGCCACACCGACCACAGCAGGAGAAATGTTTAAATAAAGCCAGGCACTCTTCTGAACTACTTTTAACTAGTTCATATTAACTAATGTCATCCTCACATCAACTCTATGAAGTGACTACTAAAAGTATTCCCCTTTTAGAGATGAGGCCAACGAGGCACAGAGAGCATAAGTAATGTGCTCAGGATCACACATGCTTGAGTCAGGGTGGGAACCCAGACTGTTGCTCATAACTGTTTACCTGTCTGGTATCCAGTCAGCAAAGGGAAGGATGGTGAAGAGGACAAGAAAACAATTTCTATTTGTTCTGCTCGAGGGGTCAACATTTCATACCCACGTGCACTGTGCTGCATGTGTATGGGTGTGTGTCTGTACACAATCAGGACATGTTCACATTAAGAAGCCAGACCTCATCAGGGTGATCACTTTGTAAGGTATATAAATGTCTAATCACTATATTGCATGCCTGAAACATACACTGCTGTATGTCAACTGTAATTGAAAAATAAATTTAACAAAACAAAAAGAACAGATCCCCACCTTCTCTTGAGATGACGGTGGCAATAATGAACACTTACTAGGTTGAAACATGTGAAATTGCCATTTGGGTGGGTAAAAGATTATGGTATTTACTCTGGACCAGGCACTGGTCCTGGTTTTAGCACTTTCTATGTGCCAGGCATTGTGACAAGCATTTTCAAATGGACATGTTAATTTAATTCTCTCAACCATCAATGAAGTATTATGACCTTCATTTAAAAAAAACGGACTCCCAGACAGAGGGCGCTAGTTCAAATTTACATAGGTAAGAAGGGGCTGATGCATTTGAACCCAGGGGCTCTGTGCTCAGCCAGTTTAACTTATTTTTCTGGACCTTCTAGCACCAAGTTTGAGAGCTTGAAATCCCTGCCCAAAGTCCAGGCTGGGGTCTTCTCAGTCCCACCAGGTTCCAGCCAGGTCCCATCCCCCAAAGCCCTCCCTAGCCTGAGGGAGGAGGGTTCTCACCGTGATAGCTTGAAAGGACCGAAACTCCAGGTAAGTGAGATGCTGAGCCAGCTCCCTTGCCTCCAGGTGGTCGAAAAGCAAGGACACTTTGCACTTTTTGCCCAGTCCTGGGCTGCTCATGGAGTGCGGGGGGCCAGGGCCACCAGGACTCAGGCTGGAGGTAAAGAGGGGCAGGGTGTTGGAGGGGCTCAGGGTGGAGGATGTGGGGTATGGAGGAAGATGGCAGAGTAGGGGTGGGGAATGAAGGGGGAGGGGCTGACTCACAGGTTGGAGTCTCTCAGACTCCTCTGGGCTGAGTTGCCTTCCTGCTCCACAGTGGCCCAGAAGCGACCTAGAGCCTCTTCTAACTGGGGCTCCTGGTGCACAGTCTCAGGGTGTTGGGTCAGCCAGTACCTGAGGGTGGTTTAGAGATGGTGGGATGAGTCTGGGGGTGGGGGTGAGGGTAGGGACGTTCTGTAAAAGGGGTCTCTTGGTTTGAGGAATCCCTAGGTGCTGGAGTGGGGATCTCTAGGTCAGCATTCAGAGAGGCTAGTGCCATCTCTGGGATCAAGTTTGAGGGCCTCTTAGCAGGCTGGTGGATCAATGGGATATAGACTGAGGGGCTAGGTAGCAGGATAGTGAGGGGGTCTCACAGAGTGGTCTTAGAAGCGAGGCTGGAGTATGTGGGAAGGGAGGTTTGGGGATCAGAGCTAGAGATGTCTGGGCACTAGCTGCGAGAGGGTCTATAGGACCTGGTTAGGGGTCTCTAAGAGGTGAGGATTCTAAGGAGCAGAACAGGGAGGATCTTAGCAACCAAACCAGAGTGTCTGAAAGTGGGATTTGAGGGAGCGGGGCTGGGTGGGTCTGTGGGGAGCTGAGCTGGGGAGGTGTTTTAAGGGGGTGGCAGGGTGAGGGTCTTGGGTCATGGGTATGGAGGTCTTGGCCCAGCCCTACCTGACCAGGTGACAGATCTGTAGCCGCCTCAGCTCCTGTGTGTTCCCTGTGGCCTCCTGGTACTTGAGTTCTGGTTAAGGCTCTGATATCCGGAATCTCAAGCCTGCCGGCTCACCTTGTTCCCATCTCTCAGACGCTCACATCTCTGCCCTCTGCCCTCCACCCTCTGCTCATGGCCCTGAGAGGATATAAGGTCAGCAGACGGTCAGCAAGCTGGGTAGAAGGCAGCACCCAGCTGTGCATGGCTAGTACCATGTTGAGAATGTGGTCCCCGCGGCGCAGGCTGCCAGCTGAGTCTGGGGGTGGAAGAAGGGGACTCTAGGTCAGAATGGCCCCGGACAATGGACTACAGTCTCCAAAGCCAGTTGGACCACCTGGTGCAAACCCCAGCTCTACTTGTGAATCCTTGCATGAACTTGGGCAAGCAACTTGCCCTCCTTGTGCCTCAGTTTCCTGGTCTGTACTATGCACGAACCAGCAGAGTGTCTGGCAAGCCATGTTGAAGATGGAAATACCATCAGACTTCCTCCCTCTCCACATCTCAGGAAAGAGAACTGCAGTTGTCTCTCTCGTCTCTAATGTAGTGATTGAGATCCATTCCCCACCCCCTGTGGATACCCCCCAAAACCGAGGCTTAGAGAGAGAAGAGTGCTTGGCCCACCTTAGGACGGAGGAGGCTGGCCAGGGAGGGGACGCTCACCGAAGGACTGAATGCACTTCTCCAGCAGCTCGTCCTCGCTGCAGCCGCCCTCTTTCAGCATGTCCAGAGCCATGGAAGCCATGACCTTGCTGATTTCCCGGGCACTGGGGCATGTCTTGTGGCGGCGGGCCTGTCGGGGCGGGCCCCGCCCTCCTGTCTTTGCTGGGCATTCCTGGTGAGACTTCCTGTGGGCACCCCCAGGGAATTATGGGAGCCCCTTCCTACAGGCAGGCCCCCAGAATCCTTGACCTCAGTGGCCCAAAGCAAAACCCCAGGGTTATTCCTGACCTCTCACGGACTCATGGGAGAAAACCCCCAGAGTATGTCAGATCACGGGAAACTTCTACAGGTAAACTCCTAGGGTTACTCCTGTCCCCATCAGGGAATCAGGAAAAGACCCTCGGGGCTACCCCAAACCACCCCTCCCAAGAGAATCATGGGAGATGACCCTCTAGGGCAGTAGTTCTCAACCTTCCTAACCCCAGGACCCTTTGATACAGCTCCTCATGTATGTGGGCGTGTCTGCAGGTGGGTGGACCCGCCTGGAGACGGATAGAGGAGCGGTGTCTCGTTCCTAAGACCACTGGAAATATGTGTTTTCCGATGGTCTTAGGCGACCCCTGTGAAAGGGTCGTTGGACCCCCAAAGGGGTCGCGACCCACAGGTTGAGAACCGCTGCTCTAGGGAATCATAAGAAATTTCTCCTCCAGGCATTGCCCCCAAATTCCCCTTGACTCTACAGTCCCAAGGCATCATGGGAGATACTTCCTGTTGGCAAACCCCTGGGATTACTCCTGATCTTAAAGGGAATTCTAGGCAAAGACCACCAGAATCCGGTCCTCCCAGGGAATCACAGGAGATTCTGCCTTCAGGGAGGCACCTCAGAATTCCCCTTTGTTCTCCAAGGCCATGCCTTCTTTCTCCAGCCCTCAGGAGAGCAGCCACCCCGATATTCTGTCCCCCCCTCCTCCGGTCTCCCTCTCCCCCCAACCCTCCATCAAGCTGCCCCTCTGCAGGACTTCAGTTTAGCCGCCCACTTGAGACCTTAGAGTTGGAGCCTAGAGAGAAAGTATGGGTGCTCTTCAGAGCTGGGCAGGGTCCCTGGGGCTGAGGCAGTTGCCAGGAAATTTTAAAAATAACCTGCACTCTGCCCAGTGCCTCCTCAAGGCTGGAGGCTGGTTCTCCCGTTGGGGAAAGAGGGTAATGGAGAGACTGGGATGGTGGAGGGAGTGGGGAGCAGAATCCAGGCAGGCTCCACAAGTCAGGCAAAATGAGGTTGGAGAAATGTATGCTGGCCATGTGGGATGTTAGTTACTAATTTCTCTGAGCCTCAGTTTCCTCATTTGAAAAATGGGAGTCAGCCCTGGCCGGTTTGGCTCAGCAGTTGGAGCATCGGTCTGCGGACCAGAGTCCCGGGTTTGGTCCCGCTAGGGGCACGTACCAAAAACACACAAACAAACAAATAAACAAACAAACAAAAATGGGAGTCGTCCCTGGACCTCCCCCAGGAATCTGCTATGTGATGGAGCAGACTCAAGTCAGGCCTGGGGTATGGAGGCAGAAATCGGGAGATCCTCAGGACAGGGCACTGCCCTGTCCCTGGCACACCCAAGGCATTGAGTAAGGGCTGACCATTATTGAATACCAAATTTGTCCTGGGCGTGGGTTATCTAGATCAATGGCTCTCAAAGTATGGTCTCCAACCTATACCAAGACTTTGGTATCAGTTCAAGTCCTCAGGCCACACCCCAGGCCTAAAGAATCAGAAACGTTGGAGGTGAACCCAGCAACCCGTGGTTTACAATCCCTCCAGTTGGTTCTGATGCGTCTCACTGAGGACTTAGGCAACCCTCTGGAAAGGGACTGTGATCATTCAATTGACAGAAGGAGAAACTGAGGCACAGAGCAGGTAAGTGGCTTACCTAAGGTCATGCAGCCAGAAAATGAGGCAACTAGGTCTCAACCACTAAACTGCTGGGTATTAGGGGAGGGGGCCCCTCCGTAGATCAGAGACATGCTGGAGGAGGCTGGAGGAAGCGCCCAGGCCGGGAACCCAACTAGCATCGCCCTGTGAGGACAGGAGGGCCAGCTGGCCCAGGTGACAGAGGCCGGTCCGGACCTTGCTGCGGCAGTCAGCTGCCAGGCCCCTTCCTGCAGACTGTCTGTGCAGGGTCCCAAGCAGCCAGGAGTGGTTGAAGAGGCAAGGGAGTCGCCTTGCCGGGTGTCAGGCTCCCCGCCCTGGGGGCAGGGCCCTGCAGGAGCCTGGAATTTCCTGTTCAGGGGCAGCAAGCCACAGTGATGGGGAACCAGGAACACCTCAGGGAGGACAGAGCACCCCACCTGGGGAGCTAGGGTGAGGCCAGGGGGTGGGGACAAGGGGATTCACAGTAGCTCCAGCTTCAGAGACAGACGCACATACAAAGAGCCCCAGCCCTGGTTGGCTGTGCACTCCCTGAAGCACCTTTCCACCTGGCGCCCCTGCCCCTGCCCCTCCCTGCCCCCAGAGGAGCCCTACACCCTTCCAGCTTGCCAGGGCCTCCCAAGCTCGCCTTGCAGCAGGAGGCCCAGGCCTTTGGGAGCTCCTGGTCTCCTCCAGGGTCCTCTCACCTCTTGCTGTCTTTCCTGTTCATGCTTCCCGGGGGTGAGGCATGGAGGGGGTCTTGCTAGAGTGTGGCTCAGCTCCTCCCCCTTCACCAATGCTCCAGTTTCTTAGCCCCTTGGGAGCTGGAGCCTCCTCACTGCTTGGGAAGGAAAGAGGAACTGCCCCTCCCCACCCAGCCCTAGGCCAGGGGGAAGGAAGAGGCTGGGGAGAGACCAAAGGTCCCCCTCCCCCACATGGGGATCCCTTCAGGCTGAGGTTTCCGGTGCTGCTGGCCACCACCCCCAGTAGCTCAGCAGTCTATCTCCCTCATCTTTCTGTCTCTAGACCCGTGATTCTCTGTCCTGTCATTTTCATACTTCAATAAAAGCAGTTTTTAAAAAAAAAAAAAAAAAGTATGCCTAACATGACACATTTATGTAGAAACACACTCAAAAGAAAAGTCTGTATTTCGATAAAGACATATTCATGTATACAATGCACAAAGCTTTGAATGGAAAGTTACAGACATAATATTTTATATATTTCTTCTTTTTTTTTTTGTTTTTGGTGTGTTTTTTTTTTTTTTTTTAGTCCTCACCAGAGGACATTTTTCTGTTTATCATCGGATAGAGTGGGAAGGAGAGGGGTGGAGAGAAACATCGATGTGAGAGGGACACATCCACTGGCTGCCTCCCACTGGAACCTGACCAGGGCCGGACTGCAACCGAGGTACATGCCCTTGCCCGGAATCGAACCCGTGACTCATTGGTGTGCAGGCTGACGCTCTAACCACTGAGCCAAACCAGCCAGGGCTATATTTCTTCTTAAGTTTCTTTTACTCCTAGTTTAATCTTTTTTTTTTTTTTTTTTTTTATCCTCACCCGAGGACATTTTTTGATATTTTGTTCAGATAGAGTGGGAGGGAGAGAGAGAGAGAGAAACATCGACGTGAAAGGGACACATCAAGTAGTTGCCACCCGCACAACCCAACCAGGGCCGGGGACAAACTGCAACTGAGGTACGTGCCCTTAGCGGGAACCGAACCAGGGTCTCTGGGGACCGCAGGCCGACGCTCTAACCGCTGAGCCAAACCGGCCAGGGCTAATCTTTTTTTTTTATCCTCACCTGAGGACATTTTTCTATTTTTTGTTCAGACAGAGTGGAAGGGAGGGAGAGAGAGAGAAACATCGATGTGAAAGGGACACATTGAGTGGTTGCCACCCACACGACCCAACCAGGGCCGGGGACAAACTGCAACCGAGGTACGTGCCCTTAGCGGGAACTGAACCCGGGTCTCTCTGGACCGCAGGCTGACGCTCTAACCGCTGAGCAAAACCAGCCAGGGCAGTTTAATCTTAATAACGCCATTTGTACCGCAGAAAACATTCTCACTTTGTTACCTTTATTGTAACAAACTCTTATGTAGTACCTACTGTATACCACACACTATTCTAAGGGCTTTTAAAATATTAACTATTTTAATTCTTACACAATCTTAAAGACTACTTTATTATGAAAGCATAAGAAATGGAGATAAACCCTCTGGGATCTCCCTCCCCATCCCACTGTCCCTCTTAGGCAGGGGTGTCATTGGGGTTCATCTGCTCTGTTGGCTATGTGTTCATTTGGGTACATGAATATGTGCTCATAGAAACGCAGACTTTTCTTTTGAGTTTGTGTGGGGGGGTGTTTGTTTGTTGTTGTTGTTTTTTAACCTAAGTGTGTCACGCTTGACATATTTTCTAATTGACATACCAAAAAAGACCATACATCCTAAGTGTTCAGGTTGAATTATGACAAAGCATATCCATGAGACAATACCACAAATCAAAAAACAGAACATCCCCTAACAATCTGCTGAAGCCCCTTCCCAGGACCACCTCCCAACACTTAACCACAGCCTGATTTGTAGCAGAGTCATTTTGCCCAGTTTGAGCTATATATAAATGAAATAATTTATTGTGTTTGGCTTCTTTCTGTCTTCTTTAAAAAAAAAAATTTTTTTTTTCTTTATTGATTTTTAGAGAGACAGGGGAACAGAGAGGAGGAGAGAGATAGAAACACTGATGAGAGAGAACATTGATTGGCCACCTCCTGCATGCCCCCCACTGGGGATTTGGCCCACAACCTGGGCATGTGCCCTGACCTGGAATCGAACCAGCGACCTCTTAGTGCATAGGTCAACACTCAACCACTGAGCCACACCGGCCGGGCTATGTTTGGCTTCTTTCATTTAACATCATGTTTTTGTGATTATTCCATGTTATTCTATTTGGTTGTAGTGTAGTTTATTCCTTTTTTTTAGCTATATAATCTTTCATTGTGTGACTATTCTATGAATTGGTAATTGATTCACCTGTGATGGGCATGTGAGTTGTTCCAGTTTAGGGCTGTTGAGACTATAGCTGTTGTAAACATTTAGCACCTGTTTTTTGATGAATGTTAAAATGTACAGTTCTGTAGGGTCCATACCAACGAGTGGAATAAATGGGTCACAGTAATCAATATGATTGTGCCAACCCTTGTGTGTTAGTCCATTTAACCAAAGCTCTCTTAGAAGTATATTTTTGTTCCTTTCTTTTTTCACTAAATGAAGTCACTATGGGTTTTTTGTTTTTTTTGGGGGGGGTTTGTTTTTGACACCAGGACATTTAGACAAGCACAGAGCCATTCGTCTCCATGATGTAACACACATAGTTTCAGACTCTCTCTCTGCATCTCTTCCTCTTCCTGCTTCTTTTCTTCTCTCTGCACCGGTCCGAGCTGTGCTGTCCTGATGTACTGTCTGTAAGTCTCTCAGCCCTGCTCCTCAGCACCCGCAGGTGATGGGGTGCTCCTGGCTGCACCAAGCTTGTCCTGTGAGAGTGTCCCCAGGCCCCGAAGCTCAGCACAGCCTCAGGGAGGGCGGGAGGAGGAAAAGGTGCATTTGCACCTCCAGCAAGGGGACAGTTAACAGCAACAATAACACCTACAAACAGAAAGAGCAACCAAAACTCCTAGGGCAGAAAAAGGGTGCATTTGATAACGTCCAAATAAGGAGTTCTTTGAAAGAGGACACCAAGGGACAAATGTCAGATGCTTGAGTGGGGGAAAGCTATTTTCAACATCTAAGATCAATGAGACACTATTAATATCAAGACTGTAAAGGTGACCTGGCCAGTTTGGCTCGGCGATTAGAGTGCCCGTGGACCAAGGATTCTCAGGTTCGATTCCGGCCGAGGGCACGTACCTCGTACCTCGGTTACAGTTCTGTCCCCTACCCTGGCCGGGGTCATGCCTGAGGCAACCAGTCGATGTGTCTCTCTCACATCCATGCTTCTTTCTCTTTCTCTTTCTCTCTCTCTCTCTACCTCCCTCCCACTCTGTCTGAAAATAAATGGGAAAATATCCTCAGGTGAGGATTAAAATAAAAGGAATGTAAATAGAACAGCTGCAGCTCAGCAAGATAAAAGAGCATCTCTGATAGAAAAACAGGGAAAGAATATGAGCAGGTGACAAGGGAACACAAATCTCTGACAGGAACCTGAGAAGATGCTAGAAATTATGGGTAACTGATCAGGGAGAGCAAATTAAAACAACAGTGAGTCAGTCAACCAATTGGTCTGGCAAAAACTAGAGGCTGGAAGCTGCCAAATGGAGGTTGGTGATGTGGGGACCTGGGAGCCCTTACACCTAGAGTGGGCATCCATCCCCAGGGGCCGCTGGACACTATTTGGTCAAATTAAGTGTGGCACGGAGCTGTCACCTGTCAGTGAGCTCTGCTGTGCATACCGGGACATTCTCCCACAGCTCAGTCCCATAAGGGGACATACATGAGGATGTTCACCGCAACGTTATTTTGTTTGGGGGAGCTGGGAGCAGCCTGGGTGTCCACCCCCAGGGGAGTAGGTAGGTAAACAGAAGGGGATAGTCACCAGGGAGTCCAGCAAAGTCCCTACAACCACAGACAAGGGGTCCACAGAGCATCAGGGGTGGGTCTTCTTTTTTTTTTTAATCCTTACTCGGTGACTTTTTTTTGCATTACAGAGCGGGAGGGAGAGAGGGGGGAGGAGAGAGAGAGAAACGTTGATGTGAGAGAGACACATTGACTGGTTGCACTCACACGACCCCAACTAGGGCCGGAGACAAACTGCAACCAAGGTACGTGCCCTTAGCGGGAACTGAACCAGGGCCTCTCCAGTCCGTGGGCCGATGCTCTAACCGCTGAGCCAAACTGGCCAGGGAATGTGTGGGTCTTTTTTTTTTTAGAGAGAGAGAGAGAGAAAAACATCGTCACTCCGCTTATTTCTGCATTCATTGGTTGATTCTTATGTGTGCCCTGATCAGGGATGAAATCCTAAACCTAGGTGTATTGAGATGACACTCGAGCTAACTGAGCTACCCGGCCAGGGCTATCATGGGTGGGTCTTAAAACACATAATGATGACTGAAAAAAAAGAAACATATTTATTTATTTATTTATTTTACTTTACTGATATTAGAGAGAGAGGAGGGGAGAGGGAGAGTAGAAACATTGATGAGAGAGAACATCGATTGGCCTTCTCCTGCACGCCCCCCACTGGGGATCAGGCCCACAACCTGGGCATGTGTCCTGACCGGGAATCGAACTGGTGACCTCTTGGTGCATGGGTCAACGCTCAACCGCTGAACCATACCAGCTGGGCAAAAGGAAACATTATTAATATCTTGTGATATAATATACAATGACAGAATAATTTTATATTACATATAAAACTCTAAGAAAAATAATATTTAATATACACGCATATTATATAATGTATAATACATAAATATGTAACTGCATTGTATTATATAATTACTTATGCTTAAGTATGCATTATGTAATTTAACAATATGGTACAAACTTATATGCTATATATTACAATTGTATCACTATATCAATATTTAACTATGTGTACACCTAGCAATCTATTATACATTTAACATTTTGTTGAATTGTAAAATATTGTTTTGTATAACTTAATATAAACCATTACATGTAATAATAATAATTTTAATAGATCCCTGTATCAATCAGTTACCATGTGATGGGCTCCAGCTGGTTTCCTCATGGAATCTTCCCCACGACCCCATTAGGTGGGAACTATTCCAAATTAGCCCAGTTGCCAGATGAGGAAACTGAGGCCCAGAGGCATGA